ACTGCGAGTATTCAGAATCCAGCTGAAATGAAATAGGAGACCTGCTAGAGGCGATGCAGTTCTCTACTCGGCATATCCTCCGATAACATTTTTATCAAATTACCCCTTGGGCTTATTGCTTCCATTGAGTTGTCTCATTCTTATCTGGTGCCTTCTATCTTATTTTAACATGTGTCTCTGTGCCCCTGATATGCGGAATGGAATCGGCACCATTTCTCCATCAGCTGCCCAAACTCACAGTCCAAAATTTAAATCAACACTGATTGAAACTTTCTGGGACCCTAGAATTACTGATGCTCTCCAGAATACAGAGTCTACCTTCTCATCAGGACCTTTCTACTGACATGTTGATCATTTCAACATGAAATCAGAAAGTTTTGAAATTATCTCATCTGTGTCATAATGACCTCTCCAATGTTTCTGGGTGCGGTAACGCATCTCGTAATATGGCGCCTTATTCAGGTCAGCCTCCAGAACTGGCCACTTCCCAAACAAAAGCCTGCCTGTTTCAGAAAGGTAGCATTTTGTTTTTCTTTTTTACTTCTGCCTTGCATTTCTGCCTTGCGTAGCTCGGGGAGGAAGCTGAGTTTAGTGGTTAGTGCAATAGGCTGAGTCAGCAAGCTTTGTTTCCATATTGGGTCGTATGATTTGCTGAAAGCCTTTGTCACACCAACTCTGACCCATGAAAGAAGTCTTTGTTCTCTTCTATGTAACTTTTCCAAACTTCTGTGTGAAAAAATATCTTCGTTGCTACTGTACTGAAACTCTGAAACATAACACTGGGATTTTTCTCCCTTGTATTTCTTTTAGTAATGGTCTTGTTAGAGGATTGATAAACTAACCAAGCAAGAAACAAACCAAACCCAAAGCCAGGGCCTGGGTGGCATACCCACCCGGGTTTCACATGACCCAGCAGGGTCTTCTACACCACTGAGGAGGTGAACAGTGACCAAGTAAACACCATGGCCTTGCAGAAAGCCATCAAATGAGAAAGGGCAAAATGGTGTCATCATGAGTAAAATATTGGTCCTTTAACTTGTCCATGAGGGGTGGCTTTAGAACCAACATTTCCTCCTTAGAGATATTTAATTGCAAAATGGAAAAATATTCGTTCCTTTTTAAGGGAGTTAAATGCCTTGTGGGAGCAAAATATTGAGTAGGGTAGAAGTTTCCTTAATCAGATGTTACAACTCTGCAAGCTCAGCTTTGTCTGCAGACAGGCAGTACTTGGCCTATGTTATAAGAAGAGCTGAGTAAGTGCTATGGGGACCTTAGTGAAGGGTAGAGAATTTGTATGTATTTTATTACATTAATGTATAAGAATGTTCATTGAACCATTGTTAGTAACTCTGAAAGGTTTTCAAAAACTTAAACATTTATCCATAGGAAATTGATAAAATAAGAGTTGAAGTAAAGTTAAATATTATGAAGTGAAATAAAAACAATGTGACTCTATGTTTGATTTAAAAAACCCAGAGATATGCCAATAGAATACTGTGCTGTATGATCCCATGTATAAAATCCATCTGCATATAGATGTATAAAGAACTATTTGAATGCATCATAACCAAATATTAATACTGATGTTCTATGGAAGTGAGATTTCCAGGGCTATTTATATTCTTCTGTCTACTTTTCTGTAGTATTTTCTAATCTATTATTTATTTATCATTCAAAATATAAACAAAACTATTTGCATTAAAATGTTTTTGCATTTTTCTTACTACAAGTAGACAGGCAAGGAAATAAGAAATAAAACTTCACCACTGGTAACATTTTTCTATATTTTTCTACATATATGCACATATTGTTACACAAATGGTACAACATATACAGAATATTTTATAGTCAGGATTTTTTTACTTGATGGTGCATTATGAGGTTTTTTCCGAGCTCTTGGTAGTCTTCTTTCTTTTATTTTTTTAAATGTCTGTGAGTATTCTATTGCATGGCTGCATCGTGATGATGTAACCAATCCCCCATTTCTAGAAAGTTATGTGTTTTCCAAATCGCCACCAGTGTGACCAGCACTCTGAGGAACATCCTCATGACTGAATTTTCAGCCATTGGAAACTCTAAGACAATAGAAGATGAAGTCAGACCATCTGCCATCACACAAGGGCCAACTGTTTCCTTTGTTGCCGAAACAACAGCTCAGCCTCTGCACCCCATCTTCTGGATCCAGAAACAGATGCTCCAAAGCCCAAGTGGCCTCGTCAGCTGCACTGTGTCCCTGTATTCCCAGATCTATGCCCAGAATGCATCACTATATGATGAGCACTTTCTAAAAATTATTTCTTTTTGTTCAGTCATAGTTGACCTTCAATATTATTTTATATTAGTTTCAGGTGTATAGCACAGTGGTTAGACATTTATACAATTTATGCAGCGATCCTTCCATAAATCTAGCACCCATCTGACACCTTATATAGTTATCACAATATTACTGATGATATTCTCTATGCCGAGCTTGACATTCCCGTGACTATTTTGCAGCTACCAATTTGTACTTCTTAATCCCATCACCTTTCACACCCAGCTCCCCAACCCTCCTCTCCTCTGACAACCATCAGTTTGTTCTCTCTATCTATGAGTCTGGTTCTATTTCTCTTCTGTTTCTTTATTTATTTTGTTCTTTACATTCCACATATAAGTGAGATCAGGTGGGATTTGGCTTTCTCAGTCTGATTTATTTCACGGAGCATAATACCTTCTAGGTCCAGCCATGTTGTCGCAAATGGTAAATTTTCATTCTTTTTAATGGATGATATTCCATTGTGTGTATATATATATATAGATATATCTATATATATATCTCTCTCTCTATATCTATCTATCTATCTATCTATCTATCTATCTATCTATCTATCTATATATATATATAGAGAGAGAGAGAGAGAGAGAGGGAGAGAAAGGGTGCCAAAAAAAAGTGTACATGTTTTAAGAAAGGAAAAAAAACTGTATTAAAATTGTAGTACTCAATATATGCCAATAACAAAAGATGAATACAAGTCATGGGTATACATTTTTTTGGCACCCCCAGTAGATATTACATCTTCTTTATCCAATCATCTATTGATGGGTTGGGTTGCTTCCACTGGACTACTTTCTTACACCATATACAAGAATAAACTCAAAATGGATTAAAGATTAAATGTAAGACCCAAAACCACAAAACTGCTAGAAGAAAATATAGGCAGTAAACTATCTGACATTGCTCTTAGTGATATTTTTTTCTGATCTAACTCCTCGGACAAGGGAAACAAAAACATAAATAAAAATAAACAAATGGGACTACATTAAACTAAAAAGTTTTAGCACAGCAGAGGAAACCACCAACAAAATGAAAAGACTCCTACTGAATGGGAGAAGATATTCACCAATGACACATCTGATAAGGGGTTAATATCCAAAATTTATAAAGAACTCATACAACTTAACACCAAAAAAATAAAAAATTGAATTAAAAAATGGGCAGAGGACCTGAATAGACATTTCTCCAAAGAGGACATACAGATGGCCAATAGACATATGAAAAGATGCTCAACAACACTAATCATCAGAGAAATGCAAATTAAAACCACAATGAGATACCACCTCACACCTTTCAGAATGGCCGTCATCAATAAATCAACAAACTACAAGTGTTGGGGAGGACTTGGAGAAAAGAGAACCCTGGTGCACTGTTGGTGGGATTGCAAAACATGCAGCCACTATAGAAATCAGTTTGGAGGTTCCTCAGAAATTAAAAACAGAAGTACCATATGATCTAGCAATTCTACTTCTGGGTATGTATGTAAAGAAATCCAAAACACTAACTTGAAAAGATATATGCACCCCTATGTTCATTGCAGCATTATTTTGTTAGCACTTCGTCACTTTAAGGGAAGTTTGAAAAATACTTTGTCCAGTATTTTCAGTTTTTTAGTAAGACAGTTATTCCAAATATCAAGTGTTCTATTACTAAAAGTAAAACTAGGGTATTGTTTTTTTAAGTCGTCTGTCATTTCCTACTTGAGACCCTCCATGGTTTCCCTCAAACCCAAATGCCTCACTGGCAGCTACCAGGTCCCACATGCTCCGTTTCCTACCCAAATCTCAGACTATGTCTTGTCCCACATTGCTCCCATGAAAATCAGTAAAGGAAACCTCAACTTTTCAAATCAAAATTGGAGTCTGGAAGGCCTGTAGAGGGAGCTCTCACATCTTACCACTCTATGACCCCAAAAGGAAGAGAGAACACCTTGCATCTCCCACAAAAAGGTGTTTTCACTTTCCTATCCCGGCAGGAGTAAGGGAGATTTTCTTCTAGCCCAGCAACAAGCGGAGCCAATGGAAAACGCCACCGCTCAGCCAATGAGAACGTCTTGCTGTTGCCTTACTTTTCCTTCAATAAACTTCCATTTTTCTTTTGCTAATAACTTCCTCCAATGAACTTTCGTTTTCCTTTTGCCAACGACTTCCTCGCTCCACCCTTTCTATAAAAGCCTTCCATTTTGTATAACTCCTCGGGGTATCTGTGCGCCGGCTAGGCAAGGCGCTGGCTGATTCATGACTTAATAAAGCCAATTACATCTTCAGAATTTTCTCAGTGGAATTTTGTTTTTTTAACACTTCACTTTCAATAACCTACTGTCACTCTGCCTCTCCGTCTGTCTCCACTCGGGGCTTCCACATCTTCTAGCCCCTCTTCCTAGAACGCTATGTCCCCAGATGTCACTTGCCTACCTCCTGCTCCTTCTTCAGGTCTCAGTTCAAGCTTTACTTCCTCTGAGAGGCCTTCTCACCCTCCCGCATACAGTAGCTTCAACCCCACTCACTCCTTTTCGCACTACTTCCTTTAATCCTTTTTCTGGCTGCATCAGTCACTGCAGGCCACTTGTTTGAATTGTGTATGCTCCGTCTTCTTACACTAGAATGTAAGTCAGGTCCACGAAAAAGGACCCTGACCCTACTCGACCTTGGCTCACCGTATCATGTGTCACCAGACTTTTTTTAAAAAAGGCTCTTAAGAAAAGATTAGTATTCTTTTTTCAGACATTTTCAAGGTGTACAGCGTGGGAGAAGGTATGGAAAAAGGAGAGGGACTTGATCATAAATAAATGTTCACACATGATCTGGTGACAGAGCCTGACAGGCCAGATGTCATGAGACTGATTGTGTTCCAGTTGCTGTGGCTCCAGTGACGAGTCATACCACCCTGCCTTTCACAACAACATTTCAAAACACATGTTGCTCAGCTTTGTAGACCAGCTCACCAACTTCATCAGTTCTTCCGACTAACCCACGTCACACGTGACCCACCAAGTGGCAGCAAATTCTAAGAGGGCAACCAAAAAAGGGGAACAGTGAGTACGTGAAATGAAACCCAGGGAAAAGCTGTAATTATTCTCAGAAACGTAGACGTGAATTGAAAATACAGCAGCCATTAAGAATCGCGGATTCAGGAGCTGCAAGAATTGCACAATGGCCTACGGTGAGCAGGCAGCATTAAAATCGAGGTGCTAAAAAGCTGGCTTTCAAGACTTTTTAGGATCATAGCACAGTTTCAAATACCAGAGTTGAAGAGATGAAAACTCAAGACACCACTAAGTTAGCAGTAAATGGAACACAGTTATATGAGTTACACCAAAGCCTCATGTTGCCTTTAAAATCTGAAGCTGTGATTCACCATAACCATCATCCTTAACCATGTGTATTCTGCTTGAAGGCGACAGGTGGTGGCCCTGGAAGTACTTATGGACATGATCCAAAAGTTTAGTCATCTCTTGTGTACACATTTTTCTTTTGTGAGGGCTGGATTTATGTTAAACTACCTTACTTGTGAATTGTACCTAAGGTGCACCATGTTCCACAAACAACTCAAGTCAAGTTCTGACAGACATCGCCTGTTGGCAGAAAACTCGTCTGTAGTAAAATAAACTTGATATGTTGACTGGGAGTGGGCAGCTGATTTCCCTTTGCCAGTGGAGCAGTGTCTGGACACACAGCTCAGAAACAAGGCTGAATTCCTTGCTTCGCACTTCAAACACGCACAGTCTACAGTCCTCAAGCGCCTTCCACCTGGGGTAAGTAAAAGACCTCATTAAAGTTGAATGATTCGTGTATAAAGGTAAGCAATACGGTTTAAAAAAAATGAAGTAAATTGAAGCAAAATCATAAAGGGTCTTAAGTAATAAGAAAAGGTGTTAAACAGGCACAATGGAGCCATTAATTTGTTAATGAATGTATTCTTTCACAGATACTTACTGAGCATCTTCTATGTGCCGGGTTGATTCCTAATTGATAGAAAAGAACATTGTAAAAACAAAGTCCCTTCTTCATGGAGCTTACTTTCCATTGGGAGAGACACATACTAGCCAAAAGAAAAAATGTATAAGAAAAGAGTAAATATATAGTCAGTCAGGATTGGTGACAAACAAGGACAAGGACAGCCTAGGGGAACAGAGAGTATGGGGGAGAAGAGAGCTGAGAATGACACACAGCTAAGGTGACATTTGAGAAGAGGCCTAAAGGAAATGAGAAAGTTTAGGATGCCTGGGCTGCAGGTTCCTGAGAGAAGATTATTTGAGGCGGAGGCAGAAGCAGGTGCAAAGGCCCTGTGACAGGGGCATCCTTGCATCATCAATGGCCGGTGGCTGGAGGGGGATGTTTGAGAGGAGAGCAGTAGGAGGGGAAGTCGGGAGGGGATGTTGGGAAGTTGGGAGACACAGACCAGCTCGGATAGGGCCTCTGTAAAGACTTCCCACTGGAGGGTTCTCAGCAGAGGAGTAACATGGTTTCACATGTGTTTTGTAATGATAATTCTGGGAGAATAAAAATGGAAACAGGGAAATTGGAGGAGAGAGGATGGTGGCGTTTGAAGCAGAGTGGTGTCTGTGGAAGAGTTGAGAAGTAACTGAATTCCACACATATTATGAAAATAAAGCAGAAATAACTTGCTAATGGATTAGCTACGGTATGGGAAAGAAAGATAAAAATTAAAGAGGACTTTAACGCAGAGAAAGTCAAAATACTCAATCAAGGACACTGTGTGTATCTTTGGTTAAGGGGTCGATTGACATTAAAGGACTGCTGAGCAGAAAGAAGGGTTTAATTGACACCAGGTGATATGACGTTGAGATACCTGTGTTCTACCCAGGTTCTCAAGTAGGTTTGGCGCCATACCCCAAGAGGGCATCTGGAAATGTACAGGGCGTGCCGGGTAGATTGATGGGGGCCATGGGCATTTTGCGGTAACACTCAGGATGCTAAGTCCGACCATGCTTGCCACAGTCCAGCATCATGAACAAAATCTCTCTCACCCAAAATGCCAGCGCTCCCCACAGGGGCTATCCTCCTTCAAGCAAAGCTCCAGGCACGACCTGAAGATTAGAAATTAGAACATGGTGGCTGGTAGCACAGGTCTTAAAGTCAGATGAGTTTGTGCTCCAACCTGAGCTCGCCCTATGGCTTGGGACCGCTGCCTAGACACTGAGCCTTACTTTGCTCAACTAAATAATGCAGGAAATAATAGTTAATACACATCACCTCGGGTGGTTCTGAGAATTACAAAACTCTGAAAGTACTTGGTCCAGGGTTCGGTTCAGGGGGAATCCTTTAAACGTACACTATTATTAGAAGTGGGAAAAGGGGAAGAAAGCAGACCTTTAATACAGAGACCAAAAAACCCCAAAAAACCAAGAGGGAAATTCAAACAGAGAAGCCGTGTAGAGCAGCACCGTCCAGTGAAAATATTGTAGGTTCCGTTCCAGGCCGCTGCCACAGAGAGAAGGTTTCTTTCCTTAAACCCCATGAACCCGCCTCCGCCAGCTTCCGCCTTCCCCTCTGCAGCCTCCCGCCCTCTCTCAGCCTTCCTAGAATTGAAGAGAGGCAGGGCCTTGCTCTGGATCAGGCT